ACAAACGTTTCATGTCTCTATTTCGTTATTTCCATCATAAAAGAACACTGCCAAAATTTTCCTTGGATTTCTTTTATCGTTATCAGTATGATAAATAAATTGATTATAAGCTTTCACACTAGGAGGAAGTCATGAAGATCTAACATCGACGTAGGCCAAACGTTTGTTTCAGCGAGCCGAAAGATCGACGCACAATATGCATAATAGAAACGTGGTGCTTATATTTCAGATAATTAGCAATCTACAAGTAATTTAGAAGGGAATAGAAGAGCGCGAGGAAGAAAATAATTCCCTAAGAAATGCAGGCAGCTTTTTAAAATTTTTAGAAGTGAGCTTCGCACTCTCCTACACCGCGCCATTAAATCATTTCGCCCCGCTTATATTAACGGCGGTCTAAAATAAAGAATGCATAATATTCTTGCTTTATACGTATCGCTCTTTCGACGTTGACTAGAACGTTCACACCTACATCGCACTTCCGCTCTGCGTACGTCCGGCTTACGGCAACGCCGTTTGATTCCTTTCTTTCTTTTCGATTCTGCATCAGTCGGATTTTCTCCTCTCCCGTGAATCGGTTTACTCGCACTTTTACGAATCTACCTGAGTAAACGGAGGACGGTTAACTTACTCATTCTGGGCGCACTGTCGCGGATTCACAAAATCCGCAGTCGGCGAGGTGTCGTCGTTCGCGTCCTTCAGCCACATTTCTTTTTTTTTCGCGGAATATCAACTAATCATCGGTGCCCTGCGATCGAGCTGTTATCCAGCAACGATGTAGATGCGACGAAGCCACTAAAGAGATCGGGACAAACTAGGAACGAAATATAGTCTAAAATAAAATTCCCATTTCCCGGTAATATATATATATATATATATATATATGTTATACGATAAATGTGATGCAACACAAAGATGGTATATTAAGAAATGTACCGAGTTAGCTCTGAACGTGTGTTGTAAGAGCAAAAATAAAGCTCGACCGACTTACGTGTTCGTAAGAATACTCGTTTCTTTTACGTTTCGCATTTATTCCCTAACTAAAGTATAAATGTTTCATTAAAAACCATCTTGTATAATTGCCACACAAATTTACACACAATAATGCGTCGTGAGATTTTCTTGTCATTAAAATCGCGATCTGACACACAGAGAGTTATAAATCAAGGTAAAATTCTATCCCGAGTGCCCCGATTCGAATCGTAGTTCGTCTAAGGGCCAGTTTCACAACTGCTAACCAAAGATTAATTGATTCTCTGTCTCTTCTTAGATAATAAGAGAGAAAAAGACAGGGAGTCGACTGAACTCTGGTTAACGGTTACCCGACGTTCGTGAAACTGGTCCTAAACCGGACTCTACAATAAAGACATTGTCACAAAGAGAGAGAGAGAGAGAAATTGTTTGCGCTGCTGATAACGCCGAGTCAACGAATACACTTTCCACTTCTCGCCAGCACTCGTGTTTTCTCCGGAGGACCGCGAGAAAAAGCCCAAGGAAATATCCCAGATCGCGAAATTCCTGAAGTCGGTTTTTTTTCTTCTACCAAAATGTGTCAAAAGCCTGAAGGAAGCGGAGCGAAATGTCGCGGACACTGGTCGGTGAAACGTGACGCGAGTACTGCAACAAGGGGCATGTGTGTCGAGTGAGAGAGAGCTGCTTATACGAGGCGCTCCGCGAGATCCTCCAGCGTGTTTGTGTTCGGTAGAACTGACAATGAGTCAGAAAATGTCATCGACTCTCAATGACGCACACACGCGCATGAAAGCTCTCGAGTAGGATTACCGCGGCGCAATGTGTCACAGTGTGTACGAAGCGAGCGAGCGAGCGAGCGTACGAGCGTGAAAGGCGTCACTTTGAAAGAAAGGGAACGACGGCGACGGCGACGATGCCGTTCGCTCAATGACCAAACGTCAACTGGTCCGTGGCGAGCCGCCCGAGTCGATTAACGCAACGATGGGAGCTAATTCATCGTCTTCCGGGCGCGAACCTCCCCCAATCTGAGGTGATCGCGTGCAGGACGGCTGTTCAAGTTCCACGGCTAAGTTCCGTATACATAGGCCAGTATTCATAGTCGATTCTTATTTCAAAATCATCTTAAGTGTTGTCTTAAGACGCTAATACGGCTCTGTGATTGGTTGAAAACACATTAAGAGTATACTTAAGATAATCTTAAATATAAGAACGGACTATGAATATCGGCCATAGATGCAATAAAGATGCCACTGCAGAGATCGAAACAAATATAGTCCAAAGATCGTCCAAAGATATAGTCGAAACAAATATAGTCCAAAGATCTCCGATTTTCCGGGAATGTATACGATGCGATGCAATATAGAGATGATATTAATAAATGCACTCAAGTTAACTCTGAACCCGATGTTGTAAGAGTAGAAGTGGAGCTCGACTTAGGGCCCAGTTTCACAAACGTTGGTTAACCGTTAACCGGAATTCAGTCGACTCCCTATCTTTTTCCATATTGTTATTTAAGAAGAAAGACGGAGAATCAATTATCCTTCGGTTAGCAGTTAACCGATGTTTGTGAAACTGGCCTTTAAGGCCTGTGTCCACGATGTTAAAACGTGGTCCAGGTTCTATGTTCCGAGAAATGTGCAGTCAATCAGCTTTTATGGAATAGCTGCAAGTCGATTGGCTGCACATTTCTCGGAACTGGAACCCGGACCAAGTTCTAGCA